GCACAGTCCCTTTGGAAAACAAAAGCAGGAGAACAAGGAAGGGGGCAGAAGATCAGAAGACGGAAAGAGGGCTGTAGCACTAGGTGTGCTGAGCCTGCTGGGGAGGAACAAAGGCTGTTCCCCGACTCTTCGTGTACCGCTCGGTTCTTTCCCCAGTCAAGAGCTATAATGCTGGCTGTACACTTGCCGCAACAGCAGTTTCTTATGAAGATAAACAGGCACTTCATATGACCTAGAAATTCCTTTCCTAGGCATTTGCTCAAGATAAAGAAAATGTGTTCACACAAAGAGCTGTACGCCACTGTTCACAGTAGCTTTTTCTCATAGCAGCTTAAAACTAGAAACAACTCAAATGTCCACCAACAAGTGAACAGATAAACAAATTTTGGTATATTCATATTGAAATACTGTTAGCAATAAATAAAACCACTAATATATGAAACACTGCAAGTGAATCTCAATAAAAAATGGCTAAAACAAACCTGAAATACTTACATAAAACTTTCAAAACAGGAAAAACAACCCTAGCATCATAGAACCCAGGTCACTGGTTGTCTGGGACAGGACATGTGGGAACTTTCCAGGGCAGTGGAAATGGTCTGCACCATGAGTGGGCGTGGTGGTTATCCAGGTGTACACACCTGTCAAAACCTATTGAACAATATACTTAAAATGTGTGCATGTTATTGCATGTAAATTGTACTTCCATTAAGCTCAGCTTAAAAACAGAAGTGAGCCAGTGATACGTGAAACAACATGGATAAATCCCAAAAGAAATATCCCTGATGAAAGAATCCTGACTCAGAAGAGTACATATTGTATTACTACATTTGTATAAAGTCTTAGAAGAGGCAAAACTACATGGTGGTGATAGAAATCATCGCAGCAGTTGACTCTGAGCAGGGAAGGCAGGGTGGGTGGTGAGGAAAGAGGCAAGGGAAAAGTTGTAGGTGATGAAAATATTCTGTATCTTGATTGAGGTCATCAAATTTCATCAAACTGTACAAAGTCTGTGCACTTAATTATATGTAAATTATATCCCAATATCAACAAGTAGAGAAGAAATGAGAAATAATAAAGTATTGAACAGGTTCAAATGCGGCTTGAGGGAAAGCATGAGACACTCAGAAGTGGCCATGAAAAAACAATGCCTTGTACGCCCAGTGACACAGAGGGCAGAGGGTGACCTTTTTACTTACCATGGGGGCGCTGTCGCTGGCACATTTCCCGAGTCCTCTCCTCCCTTCGCGACCATTGTTAGCACCGGTGGCTCATTAATCGCCTGTGCGCTGCAGGGCCCCAGAGTCTTGGCAGAACTAATGAGCCATTTCTCTCCACAGGATGGAGTCTGGGGCCCCTCTCTGCATCACTTCCCCGTGCTTCCCTTTCCGCCTCCAGCACCGCTAAAAGAGAAGTGAACTCACTGGACAAAGGAGGAAAGGCGCTAAAAGAGAAGTGAACTCACTGGACAAAGGAGGAAAGGTTGTTGGCAAACAGCAGCTCTGGCCTCACATGTCTGGCAAAGGGAGGGTGGTGGGGCCTGGTTAGGACATGACTGCAGAGCCAGTTCACCCGGGTTCGAGCTCAGCTCTGGCTATGCAATTCTAAGCAAACTAGCCTACCTATGTTACAGTTTCTTCATCTGAAAACAAAGATAGGATATAGTAATAGTATCCATGTCATACAGGTGTTGCAAAGTGTTTTACATTAGCAATCAATATTACTACTTGATCTGTAACCTCATTTTTTCAAAGGCACCCAGCCATCCTCAGTTTGCTTTTGGTTCTCATTGTGAGAAGCAGGTAGAGACTTTTTATTTTGTGAGAAGCAGGTAGAGGTCTGTTGAGAAGCTCCTTGTCACAGGGAAGCTCTAGCATGAAGGTAACGAGGAGCTTCTGATTGGACTGCAGGTAAGTTATAAGCTTATTCTTCTCCTACCAGCCCATCAGTGTCCTCATGTCTTCAGTAGGGGCCACCAGGAGCACCAGAGTTGGACTCAAACAGGAATTAGAATCCAGGTCCCAGCCCTTATTGGCTGGGTGAAGTTGGGCTAGTTATTCAACCTCTCCGAGACTATTTCGTCTTCCCTAAAAGGAAGGCAACATTAACTAACTTAAAGAGTTGTTGTGAGAACCAGACATTCAGGAAATGTTTAGCACAGGTTCTGGGGTATTGGAAGCACTCAGCGATGGTAATTGCTAAAGTGATAACATGCTTGTTGATATTGGGTTGGAGAGCATAATCCATATTTCACTCCCTTATAGCACCTACTACATAGCCAGGTCTTTGATGATCAATAAAAAAATAAATAGGCCAGGTGCGGTGGCTCACGCCTGTAATCCTAGCACTCTGGGAGGCCGAGGTGGGCGGATTGCTCGAGGTCAGGAGTTCGAAACCAGCCTGAGCAAGAGCGAGACCCCATCTCTACTATAAATAGAAAGAAATTAATTGACCAACTAATATACATAGAGAAAGTTAGCCGGGCATGGTGGCGCATGCCTGTAGTCCCAGCTACTCGGGAGGCTGAGGCAGGAGGATTGTTTGAGCCCAGGAGTTTGAGGTTGCTGTGAACTAGGCTGACACAATGGCACTCACTCTAACCTGGCCAACAAAGCAAGACTCTGTCTCAAAAAAAAAAAAAAAAAAAAAAAGATTTAAATGGTCTGTTGTTCAAACATTTAACAATATTTTTAAAATTTAAAGAGAAAAAAAACCTTTTCTTTCAAGGTAAAAATAACAACAAAAGGAAGGAAAGGGAAAAAAAGAGAGAAAAGAGATAGACGGGACAAATAAAGAGATGAGATCGGACTCTTAAACACACAAAAAGAGACACTGTAATGGGGCAAGTGTCACTGCAACCTCTCCAGACACTGCCCCGTCAACCTGTTTGGTTCCTGACCCTTGACTACTGCAGCAGTGCCTCCTCCCACTCACCTAAGCTGGCCCTCTGTGCCCCGACTCTCCTATCACAATAGTACGATCGCCTCTTCCAGGAAGCATTCCCTGATTTACCCAACCACACTGCTCCTGTTGTCTACAGATGTCCCTCACCCATCCAGTACTGTTTCACTATCTGCCTTATCTGCCAGAAGCTTAGGAGCTTCTGATGATGTTCAGTGTGCAGCCTAGGGTTCTTGAAAGACATGAGACCACTCTTTCTCCTAGCCTGTTAGCTCCTCCGCCATGCACCAGCCACACTGTCCAATATTTTGAAGTCGATCACTTAGTTCAGTGGCCTAGAAATCGGCTGTTCAAAAGAACAGAGCCAGATCCAGCACCTAATACAATATGTGAATCTCGACTGGATCCTGTGTGACAAAAGATATTCCAACAAAGAACATTACTGGGACAACTGACAAAATAGGACTATGGACTGCACATTAAGTAGCAGTACTGTATCAATTGTAAGTTTCTTGAATTTGATTACTTTACAGTGTTAATTTAAGAAATCACCTTGTAGCAAATGCATACTGACACATTCAAGAGTAAAGGAGCATGATATACACAATTTATTCCTAAATGACTCAGAATGGAAATGAGTTTGTAAATATACGAAGGGAGTATGATTGTGCAAATGAGCAAAAATGCTAAAAATTTATGAATCTTTTTTTTTTAATTTTTTTATTTTTTATTTTATTTTTTTTTATTTTTTTTTTAAAATGATGATGGTATTTTTTTTTCTTTTTTTGAGACAGAATCTCGCTTTGTTGCCCAGGCTAGAGTGAGTGCCATGGCAGCAGCCTAGCTCACAGCAACCTCACACTCCTGAGCTCAAGCAATCCTCCTGCCTCAGCCTCCTGAGTAGCTGGGACTACAGGCATGCACCACCATGCCCGGCTAGTTTCTTCTATATATATTAGTTAGCCAATTAATTTCTTTCCACTTATAGTAGAGACAGGGTCTCGCTCAGGCTGGTTTCGAACTCCTGACCTCGAGCAATCCGCCCGCCTCGGCCTCCCAGAGTGCTGGGATTACAGGCGTGAGCCACCGCGCCCGGCCAATTTATGAATCTTGATAAAGGTTTTATAGGAGTCCTTGGAACTACTCTTGAAGTTTTTCTGGAAGCTTGAACTTACTTCAAAATAAAAAGGTTTTAATTGCATATGAATGAAATTAACCAGGCACTATACAAAACTAAAACTCTATTTAAATGTCCCAGACTTCTCATTGTGTACTTTTACTACTAAATTTCATCTTATATGAAAAAAAGAAGGATAAATCTATTTCAGCTTTCCATTTCCATGCCCTAATTCTTAAATAATTTTTGCAGGTGTAGAACCAGAAAATAATCATTCTATGACTGATGCTATACTTTTCTTATTTTTCTACATTACGCATAATGGAAAGTTAAAATTTTTCATTTGCAGGGAAAACATTTGGTTTCAGTTTAATAAATCATGATTTTTTTAGACCCAAATCACCTAATTGATCCCTCTGGGGATTGAGTCGTTTCACATAGAGGAGAAATCTCCTCCAAAGGCCACATTTCTATCACTGGTCAAATCCCTTGCAAAAGGGTAAAGTAGACAGGATGTGAATGATTCTAGGAAATCCATGCCTACCACTAGAAAGTAAGATCAATTCTACAGTAATCTTTACAGTCAGGAAATTCACTCAATGCATATTTCTTTGAAATTCCTTCCATACATAGCAAATGGAAAATTCAGTTCACCTCAGAACATAAAAGGAGCTCAATAAATGTCTGTTGAATTAGTGAAAAGTAATTGACTAGCTAAGCCATGCTTTACATGAGCCTTCTTTGTCCTCACCCAGAAAGTGAGAGGCGCCAGTGTGAGGCTCCATCTGTTTTCCAACACATTCATGGTTTCCTCATTCCCACTAGACAGTATTTGACCAGGATGAACAGAGGAAGAAAAGGAGCGGCTCGGAAGAGGCTGGGAGAGCAGAGGCAGAAGAGAAATGTCCACCTGGTGTGACCCCACAAGCACGCAGGGTGAGTTGTGATAAAACGCATTGAGTCACACTGGTCTGACAGCCTCATCCCTCCAGGTCTAGACAAGAGCAGCCCATGGGCAACCAAAGCTCCCCAGAGGGCTTCCTCCTTCTGGGCTTCTCTGAACACCCAGGGCTGGAAAAGATTCTCTTCCTGGTCGTCTCAACTTCCTACCTCCTGGCCCTTGTGGGAAACACACTCATCATCACGCTGTCTGTGCTGGACCCCAGGCTCCACTCTCCAATGTACTTTTTCCTCTCCAACCTCTCCTTCTTGGACCTCTGCTTCACCACCAGCTGTGTCCCCCAGATGCTGGTCAACCTCTGGGGCCCAAAGAAGACCATCAGCTTCCTGGGCTGCTCTGTCCAGCTCTTCATCTTCCTGTCCCTGGGGACCACTGAGTGCATCCTCCTGTCGGTGATGGCCTTTGACCGCTATGTGGCTGTCTGCCAGCCCCTCCACTACACCACCATCATCCAGCCCCGCCTGTGCCGGCAGCTGGCATCTGTGGCCTGGGTCATTGGGCTGGTGGAATCAGTGATTCAGACACCACCCACCCTCCGCCTGCCCTTCTGCCCCCACCGGCAAGTGGATGATTTTGTCTGTGAGGTCCCTTCTCTAATCCAACTCTCCTGCGGGGACACATCCTACAATGAGATCCAGATGGCTGTTGCCAGTGTCCTGATCTTGATTGTGCCCCTCAGCCTCATCCTTGCCTCTTATGCCGCCATTGCCCGGGCAGTGCTGAGGATTAATTCTGCAAAAGGGAGGAGGAAAGCTTTTGGAACCTGCTCTTCCCATCTCACCGTTGTCATCCTCTTCTACAGCTCAGTCATTGCTGTCTACCTGCAGCCCAAAAATCCCTATGCCCAAGAGAGGGGCAAGTTCTTTGGTCTCTTCTATGCAGTGGGTGCTCCTTCTCTTAACCCTCTCATATACACCCTGAGGAACAAGGAGGTGAAGAGGGCATTCAGCAGGCTGCTGGGGAAAGATGGGGACTCCAGGGAGAACTGAGGGAGGGACGCTTAATGTGCTTTAAAATTCAGAGACAATTCTCCATGCTTTTACCAGGAAGTTTCAGTTCCCCAGCCCCCTGCGTTCCTCACACCCATTGCGCCACAGCGGTGGCAGCGCCGCCTGGGGCACGTGTGGAGGCGGCGGCTGGGAGGGAAGGGTCTCTGCGTGGAAACAGCACTGTATGAATCAAATTTAATATCTCTTGTCTCTATTTGTTAATTCTTCTCCTCCATAATCATGTCCCTAATTTTATTATTTATAACTCCCCTCCCTTGTCATGTCGTCACTGTTTCTTCACCTCCAATTCTAATTCCTACAGTATGTTCTTTGATTCTCCCTCAAGTTTTTCCTCTCCCTTATATGTCTGTTTTGCATTCTGGCTCTATTTCATCTCCCAAATAACAGTAAGGGAGGGTGGAAGCTGACGCCCAGGTAAGTTCATGAACTCACCCAAGAACACACAGCGTTAGAACTAAAATCCAGACCCAGTGGCTTCTAGTCAAAGCTCAAATACATGCTGTTGCCTTCACACTGTAATCAAATATCCCAGTATCCTTAGGCTTGAAGTAAAAACAGAGCCTTAGGAAGAAAGCTTAACTCCTTCAGTCCTAGTATTTCTTCTCTTACAATGCCCACAAATTGCAGCTCAGAAAAAGAGGGAAAGGTCTTAATATTCAGGCTGTCAGGACAATTTTGACATTGGGGACTTGTGCCACCTACTGGTCAAATGTGGTATCGTGTGTGCCATCCCAGACTGAGGTTGCCCCCCAACAAACCTATTATATATTGAAAATTTCTAAGTCAAAGTAAATATTTTTTTAAGAGACAAGGCCTTGGCCAGGTGTGGTGGCTCACGCCTGTAATCCTAGCACTCTGGGAGGCCGAGGCGGGCAGATCGCTCAAGGTCAGGAGTTCAAGAACAGCCTGAGCAATACTGAGACCCCATCTCTACTAAAAATAGAAAAAAAATTAGCTGGACAACCAAAAATATATAGAAAAAATTAGCTGGGCACGGTGGCATATGCCTGTAGTCCCAGCTACTCAGGAGGCTGAGGCAGGAGGATCGCCTGAGTCCAGGAGTTTGAGGTTGCTGTGCACTCTAGCCCAGGCAACAGAGTGAGATTCTGTCTCAAAAAAAAAAAAAAAAAAAAAAAAAGACAGGATCTTGCTCTGTCACTCAGGCTGGAGTGCACTGCAGCCTCAAACTACTGGATTCAAGAAATCCTTGTGTCTTGGCCTCCCAAAATGCTAGGATTATAGTCGTGAGCCACTGTGCCTGGCCTCAGAAATGCATTTACAAACACCATAGCTTAGCCTAGCCTACCTTAAACATGCTCAGAACACTTACACTGGCCTACAGTTGAGCAAAATCACAAAACATAAATCCTATTTTATAATAAAGTGTTGAATGTCTCATGTAGTTTACTGAATACTGAAAAATGAAAAATACAGTGGCTATATGGGAACTCAAAGTATGATTTCTACTGAATGCATATCACATTTGCACCACTGTAAAGTCAAAAAATGGTCAAAGTCAGAGACTGAATGCAATTTACACATATTGACTCATTTAATACTTATAACAACACTACAAAACAGATAATGTTATAATATTATCCTTTTTCAAAGCCATAAACTAAGACACAGAGTTTAAGTAACAACTTGAAAACATGCAAGCCAAGATTTGAAACCAATAGTACTGGCTGCAGACCCTATGCTCTTAACCAGGGGTGGGGACCTGCAGCCTTAAGGCCACATGTGGCCTTCTAGATCCTTAAATGCAGCCTTTTGATTGAATCCAAATTTCACAGAACAAATTCTAAAGGACCCTTCATACATTTCTTGGAGAAATGTAGAGTCACTCGTTCATTCATTCACTCATTTATGAAGCTGTGTGCCCTTTTCCTGCAAAATTCTGGTCCTTGCCCTCTGGCAGCCTGGAATCTAGTGGGAGAATAAACCAGAAACACACACAATAAGCTGTCGCAACACTTTCCTCAGGAGGTTTCATGTTCTTGTCTCTTTTTCCCATGAAATGCTTTGAAACATTTGAAAAAACTCTTATTGCAGGGAAGGAAAACTTCAGCTGGAGATCAAGTTAGATATATTTCTAGGTTAGAGTGATTTCCTCAATGTTTCTTGAGAAGTCAAGGCTTGTCACCCATGCCAAAAGGCAGGGTAAGAGCAGGGGTGGGATCCAGAGAAATACAGAATAAAAGAATACAGCACATGAGTGCTGGAGGTGAGGGAGGTCAGAGGAGTCTTTCTAGAGGTTTGAACTACAGCAGATGGAACAAAATTAATACAAAATATTTGCTGATTTACTGTGTGGACGGCAGGAATGCTGTGCATTAAGATGGGAGCTGTAGGGGAAGGAATCACACCAGGGAGCAAAACGATTAAGAAGGAAGGTATAGATAGTTCCAGAAAGATATAGAAGCTACTGAATTGGATACAACCAGAAAATGGAAACCAGGGGGGAAAAGGCCCTTGACAGATGTTTCAAGCCCACAAGGTTTAGGTCTCCTGAGGGCAGGCACTTACCACCCACCTGACAGCACTTGAGTTGGAACATTAAAGGGACATTATTCAAGAACCTCATGGTTCTGGCTGCCTATCCAAGTGTGGTCCCCAGGTCCCTTCTGAAGGGCTCTGGCTGCCTATCCAAGTGTGGTCCCCAGGTCCCTTCTGAAGGGCTCTGAATCAGGAATAGACGTTGGCACACAGGGCCCAGGCCAGTGTGTCCCACCGCCCGCAGGACAGCCAGGCTTCCTGGGTCCCCCAATGCAGAATTAATCACCCTCGAAGAGTGCCAGAACTTGCCACCTCGGAATATGCCTCTTCAGATTATGGGTTATTCTGAGCTGAAGACCACTGAGAACTGTCAGACCAGGGAATGTTCTAAAAACAGGACACAAGGTCTCCTTTTATAAAGGAAATTTCTGTTATAAAGAAACAACTCTTATCAATGGAGAAAGCACTGGCTAAGTCTGCATGACAAATCTTACTAAACCGCCTTTGTTTACCTTATTTACTGGTCACCTTCCCTTAATTTGCCTGTCTACCACGCACCCACTCAGAAGCCCCAAACCCCTTTCCTTCACTTAGCCTAAGAGGGTACACAGTGGACCCTTGAACAAAAGGGCTTTTGAACTGCAATGGGTTCAGTCATATATGATTTTTTTTTTCAGTAAATCTATTGGAAAATTTTTTGCAGATTTGCTACAATTTGAAAAAACTACGTAGCCTAGAAATATTGAAAATATTAGGTATGTCATGAATTCATAAAATATATGTAGATACTAACCTATTTTATTATTTACTACCATTAAATATACACAAATCTGTAAAAAGTTAAAATTTATCAAAACTTATGCACACCAAAACTTACACACTTTACGTGGTACCCTTCGTAGTCGAGAGAAAAGTAAACAAACACAAAGACGCAGCATCAAATCACAACTGCAAGAAATTATCTGCAGTACATACTGTGCGGTCGCAAACCAAACCGGGTCTGCCCGCCAGTCAGCGGAGCCGCGGCGGGAGAGCCCCAGCTGACACTTCGGACCCCAACGCCCCTATGGCGTGGGGGTCAGCGTTTTCAAAGGCAGGGCACATTTCAGGCAGGCAAAATTGGAAACTGATACATGGAGGTTGTATGTTGGCCTGGCCCAAAAGGCGGGGCGCCCTGAAGTGGGAGGGGAGGCTCCGGCGAACTCAGAGATTCCTGGACGGTGGAAAGGAACGTTCAGATGAGTGGGCCCAGCCCCTCGAGGTGCAGTGCAGCGTAGGCGGTCAGAGTTTAGTTCCTCAGTTTCCCATTGTCCGCATTTTCCACGGGAGGGTGGGGGGGATGTCTGAGAAACAACTCGAGAACTTGTGTTAAGGGGGGTGTCTTTAGTTTCCACAAAAAACCAGACCACCGCACGACTCCAGCTCACTGGGAGGGCCACTTCAGGTTGCCCAGAGCTTCCCCTGAAGGGACTCAAGATTTTCCTTTATCTCCATGCTTGGGGGGGCCGCTCTGTCTCAGCCCTACTGTAATAATTCCGCAGCCCCCTCTTGTTGCGGTGAGCTGGAGGTTTGCAGGCGCCCCTGCAAACGCCCGCGACTCCAACGTCTCCGCCAGCGCAGCTCACTGGCCAGCACGTCATGTGTCACAGTAAGCAGTGTTCTCATGGTTCTTGCATGTTTTTCATCATGTTTAGTGCAATACTGTCAACCCTAAATAGCTCCATGGGACCCTATGCCACTAGTGATGCCGGAAGTGATCCCAAGAAGCAGAGAAAAGTCATTACATTGCAAGAAAAAAGTTGAATTGTTTGATAGTACCATACATTGAGGTCTGCCAGTGCAGTGGCCCGACATTTCAGAGTCACCTTGTAAACAGATGACATAAACTGTGGCACCAATAAAAACAATGCGGTACTCTAAATGTATTTTCCTTATGATTTTCTTGGTACACTTTCTTTTCTCTACCTTACTTCATTATAAGAACTCAGTATACAATACACATAACATACAAAAGACGTGTTAATTGACAGTTTGTGTTATCAGTGAGGCTTCTAGTCCACAGTAGGCCATTAGTAGTTAAGTTTTGGGGGCATCAAAAGTTATATGCAGGCCGGGCGTGGTGGCTCACGCCTGTAATCCTAGCACTTTGGGAGGCCGAGGCGGGCGGATTGCTCAAGGTCAGGAGTTCGAAACCAGCCTGAGCGAGACCCCGTCTCTACCAAAAATAGAAATAAATTAATTGACCAACTAAAAATATATATACAAAAAATTAGCCGGGCATGGTGGCGAATGCCTGTAGGCCCAGCTACTTGGGAGGCTGAGGCAGTAGGATCGCTGAGCCCCGGAGATTGAGGTTGCTGTGAGCCAGGCTGACGCCACGGCACTCACTCTAGCCTGGGCAACAAAGTGAGACTCTGTCTCAAAAAAAAAAAAAAAAAAATGTTATATGCAGACTTTCAACTGCACAAGGGGTCAGTACCTCTGATCCCCAAGTCTTTCAAGGGTCAATTGTATTGACCCAAATTCTACCCACCCATTTGTGTCACTCGTCACTGGGCACTCCCATGTGTACATGCATGAAGTACATGTTCATAAACTTCTATTCATTTGTCTCTAATTAACCTTTTTCCAGTCTAATTTGTAGAGCCTAGGCTGGAGAACCTATGGTAGGCAGAGGAAAAAGACTTTCTTCCTCCCCTACACCCTCAACACACATCTGGAGGGCACACCACCCACGTGCTGTGAGTGTCACCCCCATCTGTCTGTCTCCCTCTCTTGGCCGCACCCCCTAGTGTCGGGCTCACACAGGCCCCCGTACATGTCCCACCAGAGCTGCCACTGGTGCTGGGACTCACCTGCCACGGCCCAGTCTCCAGCATGTCCTTCTGGGGTCCAGTGGCCATGTCAGTGGGTGCTGTGTTGGTTGTTAGGTATTTTGAGTATCAGCCCACGTGAAGGTGGCTGGCACTTGACGTGAACCCCACCTTACGATTCGCCTAAGGTTAACGGACCGTGAAGGGCAACATATACAGAATTTCTTGCTTCAAAATCCTGAGTGAATAAGCAAAAAGTTGCCTGTGCAGAGTGGCCTAAAATGGGCAAGGACTATGGGAGGAGCCAGTCGGCAGGACCATCTTCAACGCTTCTGGCGAGGAGGGCTATGGGGGAAGACTACAGCTGGCCCTGAAGCGTCCAGAAGTAACCAAGAAGCTAGAGGCTGAATGACAGCAAATCGACAAAACTAGGGCGACA